GGCGGAGGCATGATCAACATTGGATGTGGTGCAAGGCAAATTCAATTCAGTTGGAGGGGTCGGGTGTCTTTTGGTTGGGGGGGACAAAGGCTGGTCAATAATCGGTGCCGAAGATGGGCCAAAAGCAGGAGTGAAGGGGAGTTCGAAGCAGTTCTCCGTTGCATAGGTTGGAGTGGACTCGGTTACGGTGGTGGCTACGACAGTCGTGGTGATGGAAGGTTCGCTGGTTGTGGTGTTTGATGTTGTGATGGCAGTGATAGTTGTGCACACAATTTTGGCTTCAACAGGTGCAGTGCTAACGCCGAAGTTCACAAAGTCGCGGAGGCCTTGGCGGCGTACAAGTTCTCGAACGAAGCTCTTCTTGGGTTGAGCCGACTTTTGAGCAAAGCCAGGGACTTCGTGGCACTTCTCGTCAATGCTTGATATATCTAAGCTGCCTGGAGGGTGCACCTTGATCCATTGAACGACGTGAGCCAGGTTTCCTTTCGGTGTACGGGGGCCGCGGAAAAAGGATCTCCGCTTCTTACGTCGGTTGGGCTTCCGCACCACGACTCGCACTTGTTGTCCAAAACCGCTCGCCACATGCTGCTCTAGCGTTCGTTTTTCATGCATCCACTTGTACACAGCGCTGGCACTACGGCCCGTTCGCCCCATGACGTCATCGACAGACATGATCTTCACGCCCAATGCCTCAACACACTCCCACTTGACTGTGATGGTCGTCAGTTTCTTTGGCGTACTTATTGCTGATGTCGGCATTTTGCAAAGTGAGAGCATTGAGTGGTCAGCCACGCAACACCAATGTATACTTGATATTGTATGAGTCGATGTTTTCGTCTTAGCTCATCATTTCATCGAAGACAAGCGAGTTAGGATATCATGCAACTTGGTGTCAATGGACGACCATATTTCTTCGATTCCTCAAGTGACGTTCGCAGTGTAGTTTTAATTGTTTTGGGATTCACATTTCTATGAAACGTAGTGAGCTTGGTGACACAATGTATTTTAAATACCAGTAGTTCTTTATATTGTTTAGGTCGTACGCATTGACAAGTCATAGTTTGGAAAAACCATCGGTACATTTTTTTAAAAGTAAAATACACAGAAATTGACTGATGGTGCGGAAACCTACTGAGGTAACAAGCTTTCCCGTGAATCCGCGCCTGACGCACTAATGTAGCCCGAGACATTCATCAAACTAGCTTTGCTGTGCCCTGAAGACGACGTTGGTGTGTCGTGGTCAAATGAGTATCCTATGTCAAGTGTTGCTTCAGTTGTGGAGCGTTCGATTGCCTGGTCGGCCGGGTTGGTACCGGGCATGATGCTGAAAGGGGTGAAGGTAAAAGGCGATACAGCTTTCGAGACATTGGATGGCACCTCTACGCCCTTCCTCACAGGCCCTGGAGTGTATCCACGCATACTCGTGTTAAAGTTCACGGCTGGAGGTACGAGTTTGGATGATGCAGTACAATATCGATCCCCCCGACGTAGCATGCACGGTCGACAACATCAAACAATCTGCGCGAATTCGAGCGAGGACCTTGGCGCAAAGAAACAAGATATGCAAGCAACTTGGACCTGTGTCACACGCCGAAGTCCTTGTCGAAGCGCAAAAGACGGTGGCGCGTCAGTATTGGATCATACATCGACCGCCTGCTTGAACAGGTGGCGCGCCTGCAAGTGGATGAGGACGGCGATGACCTGGAAGAAGTTGGTGGCGATTGCGTGGAATTGCCCCAACGATCGGCCGTCAGAACCGCGACCATGAAGGCGGTGCTACCTGTAACCAAGAATGAAGTCGAGAAAGCCCTACAAGGCATGATCGACGGCGCAGTCGATAACGGGTTTCCAATGGAACATGTTAAGTACTTGTGGGATGTGCTCAGCAAGCATGACATCTGGCGAATCAAGTTCGACGGGTCAGACCCACCGGCGAAGGTGAAGCCGTTGAAGGTGATCCCGAAGGATGGGTGTGTTCCTTACCGATGCAAAGGAAGGAAGCACAACCTCCTGGAGGAGAGGTTCCTCAAGTTGTTTGCACAAGAACTACTCGATGCGGGCGTGATCAAGAGCAACCAGCAAAGTGCATGGTGCAGCCCAATGAACCCAGTTCTCAAACCAGATGGGCGCAAGTCATTGAAGTCGGCCGACAAATGGAGCGACGATGACGTGCTCAAGAACTATCGGCTAACCAACGACTACCGAGTAGTCAACTCGCTAACTGAGCCGAAAGCAGGGACGATGCCGTTCCAGGCTACCATCCTCCAGAACCTACGAGGCAAGAAAGCGATGGGCGTGTTTGACCTGCCCAAGTGCTTTTGGCAGTTCCCACTGCACCCGGACAGCTGGGACATGTTGTCGTTCATGCTGAACGGATGTGTGTATACCCCGGATCGAGTGATGCAAGGCCATGTGGACAGTGCCCTCTACGTGCAATCAACGAACGAGGAGTGCTACAAAGACCTGCTCTACAAGAACATGCTGATCTGGATCGACGACATCTTGTGTACGCCGACACAGTGGAAGAGTATGTGGATGCCCTCGAGTCGTTCTTCGATCGAGTGGCCCAGTACGGGTTCAAGCTGAGTCCGTCCAAGACCAAGCTGTTCACGGACCAAGTCAAGTGGTGCGGACGCATCATCAGTGGTGATGGCGTCACGCAAGACCCTGAACGCATAGAACATCTGTGTGCGATCCCCTACCCTACGAATGCGGGAGAATTGCAGCAGTTTGTGTGAACTGGGGACTCGATGACAGAGTACGCACAGACCGTCGACCCACTGCAAGCAGTGTCTGACGAAGGCCCTCGAAGGCAAGGGCAAGAAGAAGCGGATCGCGTCTGGTGTTCAGTTGGAACTGACCGATGGCGAGAAGCTAGCGTTTGACGCCGTGAAGTTCAAGCTACGATCATCGGTGGAACTGTCTCACCCGCGTGATGACGCCACGAAGTGTTTGTTTAGAGTAGTCGGGTCAGAAAATCCCCCTTAATCAAGATTAGATGCTTTTGATTCCCAAATATACCTGGTAACCCACGGTTGGGTCGCGGCGCACCGAGCACACCACCATCCTACAACAACGCCCATGGTCTCGCTTCCGCCGGACCTCCGCAAGCACCAGACCATACCCCTGACACTGTCGAACAGACCATGCCAACTCCTATGGCCACCGTCATCGTTCACAGCAAACGGTACGCCAAGACAAACACCGCCAGCACCCAGACCAAGCTCCATCACTCCAACCTCGTCCAACTATACCACCCGCTACGATTGCCACTCCACTTCAGCCCTCCAAGTCGGCCAAAGGTTCCATGTGTCCAGAGATTCTCATAGCGCACTGCATGCCGAAGTGGATCTCGCTGTGTAACATACTCTATGTTCAATTCTGCAAATCTCATGTGTCCTTCAGCAAAACCTATGTACAATTCAGCAATTCTTATGTGGCTCTCAGCAATTTCTATGCGGTCCTCAGCAATTCTTATGTGGCAATATTTTATCCTCGGCTGCGTCGTCCACGACACCAACACCTCTACCCTCATTTGGGGAGGCTGTGACATCAGCGTCACCCACACTTGGGGGGCTGATACGACCACTCCTCTACCCACACTTGGGGAAGCTCCTACTTCGTAGGCCAACAGGTGGCAAGTCCCAGTCGTACATGAAGTACCAGACATCACTCCACCTGCCCGTTTGGGTGGCATCACTCGCCAACCCTCATACCAGTCGTCCATAACTCCGACGCCCAAGCGTCGTCAAACGTTGCCCTTCAACACAACGGAGAAATATTTCCCCGTACCATGTACTGTACCTCGCTCCACGAGAAGTACAGATTGCCGTACTATGGCAAGTGTGAGTACGACGTCCACATCCACTCCAACGTAGTCACAAACGACAACCCAGTTGCTCGCAATTCCGCCTCTGCCCTCACGGTCTCGAGCAGCGGCGATATCACATGTCGTACGTCGTCTCATCGATGTCGACCACACTGGACACGGCGGACAAGTCCACATGACAGTCCAGCTCAGTTGCTTAAGTCGTATATTGAGGACGCCTCAGGCGCTCAATCTCTCTCGATACCGAAACATATGCTCCTCGCCCTCAAGGACAAGACTCCTTCAGAGGAGCCTTCGACCTACAAACAGGCGATGAAATAGCCAGCCAAAACGCAATGGCTTGAAGCCATGATGCTCGAGCTGGCAGCCCATAAGGCCAACGGGTCGTTCGTACCAGCCACCTTGGCTCTAGATGCTACACCACTGGGTATGCGTTGGGTCTTCAAAATCAAATACGACGACTCGGCCTCAGAGGCTACGAGACGCGTCGCTCGCTACAAAGCGCGACTTGTGATCCAAGGACACACTCAAATTCAAGGCGTCGACTACGAGGAGAGTTACTCCCCGGTCATTGCCAAACAAACCCTCCGAACGATGCTTACTCTCGGCTCGACTGTCGACTACGAGATCGATGCAATGGACGTCATCAAAGAAATCGACTGCGAGGTCTAGGTCAAACATCCACCTGGATTTCACACCGCGAATAATCTCCACGATGTCTTCCAAATCCTCCGCAGTATTTATGGTCTCAAGCAAGCCCCACGCTTGTGGTTCCAGACACTATCTACCTACTTGCACCAGCAAGGGTGCACACATCTCGTCAAAGACTGCTGTGTCGTCACCAAGCAGATGGACGGCCAAGCCGTTTACATCGGCGTCTACAGTACGTTGACGACTTCGTCATTACGGCTCCTTCATCGGACATGATACACACCATCCAACATGGTCTGTCATCTCGTTTTTGAATGCATGACCTTGGGGCCATCACTTTTATTCTCGGATTCCACATTGTTCGAGATCGATCTGCTCTAATTCTCACAATGCACCAATCCCAATATGCAACCTCGATCCTCAAGTGGTTTAGCATGGAGAATTCAAAACCTGCCCTCACTCCAATGGAGTACAATCTCAAGCTGTCTGAGTCGATGTTTCCTCAGAACGATGCTGAACGCCAGTCCATGGTGGACAAGCCGTACCGATGGGTAGTCGGCAGCATCATCTACTCATGATTAGCACTCGACCCGACATCGCGTACGTCGTCCAATAACTGAGCCAGTTCCTCGCAAACCCCTGTCCTGCGCAATGGCAGGCAGCCAAGCGTGCTCTCCGGTACATCAGAGGTACGATATACTACGCTCTCGTCCTCGGCGGTGGTACGATCACTTGGCTCCGGTTCATGTGTATGCGGACAGTGACTACGCTAACTATGTTGATACCCGACTCTACGTCGCGGGCATTGTAACATTTTACCGGAATTCTGCGATCTCTTGGATCGCAAAGAGACTACGGAGCATCGTCCTCGCGACAACCGAGGCAGAACACACGATTCTGTGCACCCTCGCACAAGAACATCAAGCAGGCAGTTGGTGAGATTGGACAGCCCATTATCACATCCATACCTCTTTACGAGAACAATCAGAGCACCATTTAGATCATAATCAATCACATTGATGTACGCTACCATTTTATCAACGGCCTTGTGGTACTGTGCAACAGACGTTTCGTCTTCTTTACAGCGATTTGCGACATCAAGTCGCGGATAGCTTTACCAAACCACTTGATGTGACAATATTCTGCGCTTTGCGCAGTCAACTAAGGACGAGGCAGCTAGCACCAGACAGCACCCTCCAGCGCGAGACAGAAATCACGAAGTCCGAACTCTCTGCCCGTGACTGCACCGACATATAAGAGGGACGCCCTGGATGTTGGT